TCACGTTTTTAATTGTTAGCGCTGCTTCTGCTCCCTCGAGGAGCACAAAACCGCGCGCGCTCGGTTTCATTTCCTTTCTTCTTTAAACTCCCGCCATTGAAATCAAATTGCACCTGTCCAATATCCCCGCGATTATTGATAAATTATTATCGACTGGCGGGTTGATTTTCAAGCGCACGCTTGCATTATTTATTATTCGAGCGTATAAAGTGGATTATTAAACTTATTGATTGACTCGAGTGGCGGCAACATGCGCGAGATTGTTGCTCTGCACCATGACCGTTTACTGCCCGCCGCCCCGCGTTTGTATTGAAGTTTAAAACGTAATTATTCAGCAGGCTTTAGCAAGTTGTGCGCGCCATCAAAATCGTAGTTGCTCTCGCGACAATAAGACGTATATACTTGAAGAAGGGGTGTGAGGGGGTGTATGAGGAGGGTTGGACTTTGGAGGCGCTTTGCTCGTTTCTCCAAGTGTCGTATTAAAATTGTGGGGCCGCGCCGGGGCACAACTGGCTGCCAAAGCGTACTTTTATTAGGGCCATTAATAAATTATAGCAACAGGCGCGGCGGCGGCGGCGGCGGTAGAAGGCGGCCTATTGCTCATACATAAACTCAAGCGCAGCATCTTGGCTTGACGTAATAATGAGATCCCCGCGCCGGATATGGCAATAGGATTTGGCTAAATAGAGGTGATCAATCACCGAACGGCGGCGTGTCACTGCATTGACTGGCGGCTGGCGTACGGCACCTGAGCCAAGGCGCGCGCGACGCGGATGAGCACACTGCAGCTGGCCGAAATTTCGCCGCATTAAACCACAACAAGCCGAAGCGCGAATGCCAAAGGCAACCGAAATCATTGTGGTCCTCTCCTACTCTACTCGTGGATGGGGTCTACATCTCTGATGCATTCGTATCGGTCGCCGCAGTCTCACAATCGAAATGATGCATGAATATGCATGCGGCGGACACGCGCTGCGCACACACAGAAATCAGCGGTGGCGGCGGCAAACGGTACGGTGATGTATCACCTACACGCGCACGTCACTTCCTGCCCACTACCATCAATTACCGCACAGACCAGATGAACATGTAGCGACGGGCAACACGCGCGGAAAGCCCACATAAACACGAGCGTCAAATGCACATTCGATATTTTCCACCGCCGTGGCGGCGGCGGGCACTTGAGGACGTACCGCCAGCAAACAGCATCAAACACCATTGCCACCCACACCCACAGGATGCTTGTTGCTCGTTTTGTTTGTCGACAATTCTCCGCGTGCACGTAACGCACACTTAATGACTCGTTTTCCGGTTCATGTAGAAAGTAGAGGCGGGGGCGGCGGTTTGCACAACGGGCCGCACGTTCAATTACCGGTGGGCATGTCGTCGAGACGGCGGTCTTTCATAATCGCGGCTTGCGGCGCGCATTTAAACCGCAGCCGCGGGCATATAAAGACACTCTTGCTAATTGATGAGCGCCGCCGCGGGCCCCGCCGCCCGAATCATCAATCACACGGTCCTGCGCATGACAGCCGCGTGACACGACTGGCTAACAAGGAAAACAAGCCGCCCTCGGACCGGATGACTGCGCTGCAATTTCGATAAATCAGCATTAAGCGCACTGTAAAGACGCAATTGCATTCGACCCGCATTGATTACAATCAATTGAATGTCATAAAAAAAAGCAACACACATACACACACACCGAGGGGGTGCTAGAAACAGCAACATTATACTACATGAATAGAAAAATAGTGCTCCCGGTGTGGCAATTTGAGTCATAGTAATAAACGTAAAAACCGACGCGCGACGCAGGAATCTATCGTGCTGTATCGTGTTGGCGGCGGGCGGGCGGGCGGCAAAGTGAGTGCTCACAATGGTGGCGCAGCCGGGAGCGTAGGGCTTAGGGACTTATCCCGCCATCGATACTGGAAGGCACTCGCAGCGCGAGCGTCGCAATGGGCCCTGCATGGTAATGGAGCTACTTTGCAGTTAACTACTCCAGACCTCTCCGCAGCGCTGCCGCCACCGCCACGCTCATACGCTAAATGGACCTGCCGCGTTGCGTCAAAGAGACCAAAGCGACCGCACAGCATGAGAATCTTTACCTTCTTCAGGTCGCGACATTTAAGCACTTTACGTAATCGTAATTATGAACACGGCTTACAACTTTTTCCGGCTTTCCGGTTGTGCATGGCGGCTTGAAAAGAAGCGAAAAAGGCGACAGTCAGCGCAAACGAGTAAATGATGCGGTCACTAACAGGCAGTCGATATATTGGCGGTATTTTATCGCCGATGGCCAGCCGGGCGCGGCGAATTTCAAGGCAAATAAGGCCTGAACCGCCCGCCGCCACCACCGCCGCCGCCGACCGCAGCAGTAGTCCTGGTAGGAAAGTTCTCTCTCAGTTGAATATTACTTCAGCGTGGCTGGGGCAAGCGCGCGAGCAGGAAGCAATAGCGAGGATCATTAATTTAAAAGCTACATATTGGGGTGTTTTTGTGGTGTAATGCTGACTATTGTCTGGAGATGGCACCGTGATAGAACACGTCATGGGGAGAATTGATGAGAGCGTCCGGCTTGCGCGCTGACCAAAACCGACTCGACAAAAGCCGCCGCCTCGCGTCGACTTTCTGCCTTTGCGCGCATTTTTAAAATGTGCGGTGTCGATGTGCGCGCAATCTTTTTCCATCCGTGCGCAGTTTCGCATCACAAAATATATGTATCAGTAATAAATTATCATAAAAGCGTTATCGGAGAGTGTCTAAATCATCCGCAAACCGTTAAAATATGACGCAATACTCTTTTTCGCGCTTATTTTTAACCAAAAAAAAACATTTCACTGTTTCTGGTTGGTGTCCACCACAAAATAGCCCACAATAAACATTATTCTCTCCGAATCTCCGAGATAGCGTATGCTAGCATTCACTTCGTCTCGTCGACGGCGGCAGCGATGCGAAGCAATGAGTGGTGATTGTCTGCCATCGCGGCGGCAGTTCGCGCCTCGCTCGCAAAGGTGCATTCCAGACTCGCGCGCGGGAATGCAGTGTGATTAAGAGAAGGAAATTGTTCTGCGGCGCCAGTTTATCTGTGTCAGAGCAAAGATATTAGGCGCGGGGGTGGTGAGGCGTACGACCAGGATGATATATTCACGCTCAGGCTGCGAAGACGCCGACGCGCATACTCCGATCTGCGCGCACTGAATAAATACTTTTCATGCACACGCTGAATTTTTAATTATATCGCGTGCCCTCTTTCTGCGCCCGTCATGGCCTGTGTTTGCACACCAGCGCTGGTTTTATTATCCTTTTGCATAATAGTTGCGCGCCGCTGCGTAATTGTAAAAACCGTGCCAGATGAGGATGATTATCTTATCTGCACCGAGCGTATAATGAGCGTAGCATTCTTTGCCAAGGCGACAATACCTATAATACCTTTGCTCGCAGATGTGTATAATAGATGAATATAAATGAATATCTAGTGTAATGGTGGAGGCGCCGCGAGGTGCAGACACATGATGCTGCTCGCACGGTTAATTGATCGGCCTGGGGTGCTAGTGGTACACTTATGAATGGAAAGTGTAGAGGAGGACTCAGACCACAGATCCAATAAAGGCGGTGCTAATATGTCTTAGTCAGCATTCCAGGCGCTCGCACGAACGGATGGACTTCCGACGCAAGGCAACGCTTTTGTGAAATAAACAGCGTGCCCGAGCATTTGTTTCACTGACCGGTCGAATGCCGAGTGGCGCGTGTGCGCAAACAAACGTAGAAACGCACATAACTAATAATTAAACAGTGTAAATTGCCAGTAAACCGATATGTAAACGCTGGCTGCACTGATAAGCGACGGGAAACGCGCACAATTCACCCTCAAGCCCTCGGCGCCGGGCACAGCTACACCGAGAGTGAAATACACTCGATAAAGCATGAACTCTGCACGTTTCGGGGGCGGGTGGTGTGGGAGTTGTGCGCCGGCTTGCGGTGCGCGTTTCGATCATTTTCGGGTCTGGCTTGATAATTCGAGTATGCTTTTATAGTCAATCTGTCTTCGAGCTCTTAGGCGTGACGCGGAAGCTCGCGGAATAAATTTACGGACTTTTTATTATCCCACGATTGACCACGGTCGCCCGCGACTGCCGAAGCGTGTGCTTTTCTACCTTTGTGCACCATATGTGGAGGCGCCGGGCACAAATGGCGAAAAGGAGGTATACGGGTGTGCGCGCAGCATACTAAACGCCCCCGATGGCTCGTGAACTGTGACGAGTTTATATATTTCACTGTATTTCACTTTGCTCGCTGTGTTACGCTCTAAAACGCTCAGCGTGCGCGTATGACTCATCGTAAACGCCAAATCCATAAAATAATCGTAATTCCTAATACATTCGGGTTGGATTTACGGCGGTCGCGCGCAGTGCAGTCTACGCGTTCATTTTAATAATCAACTCCATGTGCATGACGGTATTCTGGTATTCATACTGCGTAAATTATTTCAGTGCGTCGACGAGACAAAGTTTGCGCGATGCGCTCAGGCGAATGGTAAACTGACAGCATAAGGCGGCTATGTCCCGCGTGACGCCTTCGTGTCAGAGCTGCTGTTGCTTTGCCGCCCGCCACCTGCGGCACGCAACCGCCCCCGCCTTTTCATATTGTACAATTGAAAGTCATCGCTTTATTATTATCATCGGTTAACCTCCAACGCGCAAGGCGATATGTGTGCATGCATACAAGTAATGCTGGCGTGGTTGCCGCCGCCGCCGCCGCCTTTGCGACGTGTCGTATATTACACGCCTGCGAATGCGATCCCGAATTCGCATGCGAATGTAGAGCAGAACCATAAAACGCCGTCGGCGGTCCGCGCGTCGCCAAGGGTGCTGACATTAGCAGGCCGTTTCCTCGCCGCCGCCACCGCCGCCGCCACAACCCCAACCCCAGATTCAGCACTCTTGTGGCGCGGCTATTACCATTCATGATTTATATTACAGACAGTGCACGTGTTTCAGGTTCCGCGATGGTGGCGCCGCATGCGACAATGGTCGGCGACGACTCGCGGTGGGTTAAGTAAGAGCTGCACCCAGGACAACGGCACCACCATGATTTCCATTGGTGGACGGCTGCTACTCTGCGCCTTTCTACCTGCCATCACCGGTAAATATCTAGCAAAATTGCGTATTAAATATAAACAGTAGTATGATGTTGTAAATTGGATGGGCGTGTCGTGTCGGTGGAAAGTTATGAACGTAGTAATAATGTCGTAACGTCGTAATGTCATTGTGAATCGCAGCGAGCAAGAAGCCACGCGCGCGCGCGCCACTTAATGTTTTGGCCTGCTTCCAAAGACGTCCTTTCAAGTCGTCGCTCGCGCCCGCATCCGCCAGGACGATTGCGATAAGCATTGCGACGACGACAACGAGGGTGATGCTGGTAGCACCGCTATAATTACAATATTGATAATCGCATTGCGCGATGCCAGATAAGCGATTGATGCTTGTGCACAATAAACGAATAAATAAACCAAAGAGAAATGGTGAGGGTGTTTAGTCCGAGTGTGAAAATCGGCGCTCTTCACTCACCCTCGTTCACACGTTGGTGTTCCCTGCAAAAAGCAATGTGATGTATGAACGGGGCGCTTGGAGAAAGACGAACAGCTGTTGCCGGCGACGCGCCTTCACTAAAATAGGGTGCGAGGAGTGTTGAGGAGTGTGTCGCTCATCTCCATGCACTCGAAAATGTCGCTTAATATCGAAATAAGTACCGAGTGTATTTTTAGCGAAATCGGCTTAGCGTGTAAGCCGACGCAGTCGGCGCCTCCGGCATCTTGCTCCGCACGTCGGATGATTTTCTAAACATGGCAAATTAAAGGAAGTTAATTTGCAGCTTATCTTTCTCGCAGACGCATCGCCCGGCGCCTCCACAATAACAATTGTCACACAAAACAGCGCTGTCTGCGAAAGCTAACATCTTCATTAACTCATTTATTATATCAAATGTAAGAGAATTACGTGTATGTAGAGATACCGCCGGAGTTGAACACATGTGCGATATTATTCACCATTCTCCACATTGGCATACTTGACACAGCGGGTGCTTTTTTAATGCGGCTCCAAGGAATACGAGAGGAAAATCTGGCGGTTTATTCTCATTTCTTAGCTCGTTTTGTTCTCTCTTAAGAAATATGGAAAGGTAGGGGAATTCTATCGTTGCGATTCGATCGGTGTACGCGCTTGGCGGTTGCTGAGGTGGAATAAGATCCAATACGGTTATGTAAATATCATAAAATTTGTTGTAGCCTATTATGTTAAACAGAAGAGAAGAGAGACATTTAAACCTACCGGTACTCGTATAATTCGAAATCGAGAGCAGTGAGCCCACTCTCTTCTCTTCTCTTGGCCGCCCTCCGCGTGTAGTACAAAAGTGTACCCTTGCGTCTTGCTATCGTAGGACGCGGCGCGAGCTCGAGCTTGACTGGCTTCGTTCGCGCGAGAGCCGAAGCGCGCCTAAGCTTCAGATAGCGCGGCGCGCTTGCTCGCCGCCCCGCGTGTGTATCGGGCCCGATTCCGACCCGGGGCGCTCTCCAAGCGCACTTCGCGTTTAATGACGCGAGACAATGACATAGTCTTCGTTTATTAAGAACCGTAACGCCGGTTGTTCGACGCGCGCGCGCGCGCCGTTGCCGCCGGCTGAGGGGTTAGTGAATGGCTGCTGCGAGTGTCTTAATCCGCCAGTAAATTGAGTCTCGGTTAAGTTGGAGGCGGCTGGGGGGTATGGGCGCCGGCGATTCGTGTATCGCGCACACGTCTGCCGGCTCAATCTGAGCGCGCACTGGCCCATAAATGCCAGATATAAACGCGTCCCACTGCTGCCGCCTCGCAGGTTCTGCACACATTACGCAAACGTCGCATTCGCATCTTATTTAAAGCGCGCGTGCAGAAGACTGACTTTCGCGCTAATGCACACCAAAATCTACACCAGTCGCCGCCCCTTTTGGACTTGAACTATTGTCAACGTGCCACACTAACTGTATGCAAAATCAACAAGTACAAGCTTCTAAGTTAACCTGCGAGAATCGAATCGAAACTCAAACTCATGTATGACTGCGGTGATGGCGGGGGCGGCTGCACACGCTGGACTTCTCCAACACATTTATCAGCACCGTGCCAAATTTGCATGAGCTCTACGAGAGACACAGGCGACGCTTTGCTGAATGGCATCAGATTAGTCCAAGCGAAGAAGCCTTGCCGCCGCCGCCGCGCTATCAGTGGAATGCATGCTCCGTCGGCGGTATCAGCTGCAGGCGGCGCCGCTACACATGTCCATTGTTCCGTGTCCGCGCATTGTGTGCGCGTCGCGAGGAGCGCGCGAGCGAAAGGCTTGCGGCCGCCTCCCGCCACCGTGACGATATCGGCGTTCCGCCACACACCGTCACGCCGCCTCTATGCATGCATTCATAGACATGCACCGTCTTCTTGGCCGGCGAGCGATAGCGAGACAAAGTGGCCCGCATTAAAATCCCGGCTGAGGGCAATATGTGTGTGCATGAACTGGACGATGAGAGAGAAAGAGGGGGGCGGCGGCCGGAACGAGACATGTGCCCTCGCCTTGCGGCCCCGCGCTTAATCCCACGGCTAATCCGGGCTTAACTGTGTCGGAGCAGCAGCGCTACTAATTTGTTGATTCCAACACCCCGACATTGAATTATTGGAAGTCGAAGTGGGGTTGGAATGTGTTCTTTACCGGACGATAAACACCACTACATCTATGATACTATTTATTGGAAATTCAAAACCCAAAACTTAATTTGACACAACTTCAAACAATTCCAAGACAACGGATCAAAGCAATACTTTACTAACAACCCGCATAAAATGGTGGGGGTAAAAGTATATAAAAAGTCTATTTTCTGGTGGTTGACACTAAAAATCCAAACATACGCCCAGTGGCTTAAACCTCAATAAGAATTTTATTTCCTTTCTTTACTTTTCAAAGAAGAACCACACACGCACACCAGGAAACCGGAAATCTCTTCAGCGACTAGGCTTTTCGCGACTCTGGCTCCCTGCGTGCGCGCATCATGTATTTCGATATTTTAGGAATTTAATAATATTGGCATAACACACGATATCGACAGGCACATACCAGAACCCGCTGCCCCCTGTCACCCGCCCCCCGTAACAAGCGCGCATGCATTATTTACGCACTATAAGTACCTGATAGAGATTTAAGTGAGCAACACATCAAAGCGCCATAATGTAATGCGGCGCAAAACACAATATATCGTCACACAATATACTCGCGATACATTATCAGACTCCGAAGGGCGCTTATAAAAGGAGGGTCGAAGCGGCGGTCCTTTTGCGCGCGGAGTAAAACCCGGCGACTATTCTTCATTCGTTCTATTAAATCGGGCGCGATTCAATTGCGGCGACTTAGCTTTCCGCCGTCCAATGTTATGTCTCTGTGTGTGTTTGTGGGGGTGTACCGCCCCGCGTGGATGTATTGTATGCGTGCTGACCCGCGCGCGCCGTTAGGCTCACGCGCCCAGTGTATCCAAATTCATTGCAGATTTTCAGCTTGTCGGTTGCGGAAAATAGACGTCTGGAGATTTAAAGCGTTGAATCACAACGCAATTTAAAATTATTGCGGATTATCAGCATGATAATAAATGCCCCGGGCGTTGATTGACTGAATGATTGATGGACAAGTGTATACAACCCTTCCATCGGTCATAATTGTCATGGATTTGAATATTTAACATTTTCAATTTGCGCACACGTCACATTTTGTTGGCCATTGTGAAGATTTTAGCGAGTGAGAGGAGGCCTGGAACGAAAAGGACCTTAATGTGCATATTGTGTGTGTTGGCGGGAGGTGGGGGTGGGCAGGCGCAGCACACAATCGAAATGGAGGACTTGTGTGCGCGCGGCCGCTTTTCAACAGTTCGCTTGAATGATTCTGCGATTTACTGTTGCCAGAAGTGACGTTTCCCGTTGAGTGACGCGCGCCAGCCTGCACCCTCGAAACTCGCGACGATACCGAATGAATGCTATCGCCGTCGCCGTCGCACCGCGCGCGTTGTTTCAAACCGCATCTCAAAGTTGTGCATCGCGAGAGCCACTCGTTGCAAAGTGCACAACTACCGGGATATCCTCGGCCGGGGCGGATGGTAACCACTATCGGGCCCGCGCGCTTGCAGAAGCGAAGAGAAGGGTGTGCGTTTCCGTGCGACGCAATACCGGCACGAACGGACGTGTTTTCCATATGCTTGCAGCATGTTCGCTGGCTGTCGACTCGTTATTACTGCTCTCGAGAGTGAAGTCGGTGATGTCGGACTCTTAGGCGGCGGCGGCGGCGGTGGCGGCTGCGGTGCTGGGGATTCCTTTTTCACGTCTGACAGTGACACTTTTCGCCCGCCACTACCACCGCCGTGTATCGACTGTCGGGTTAAATATTTAATAACCAACATTCCAATGTAAATCAGTCTCATTTGCAGAGTATTTGAATTCTTGCCATCCAACATGGTTAAAATTGCTTTCATGTTTTTTCCTCTCTCATTGCAGGTCAGCAGATCTCCGAACCGGAACCAGTGTTTCTAGCGCCTCTTGAGAATCACACCGTCACGCAGGGCAGAGACATCTTCTTTACCTGTGTCGTCAATCACCTGTCTTCTTACAAGGTAAAACCGTCCATCTCTAACCACTGCAATGTCCGGTCCAGTCTATTATATGCATCTGGTACCACCGCCGGAGTCGACAATCGTACCTTTATCGCTGACGCGTGCGCTTCTCGTTTTTATGACGATGCAAACCCTCGGTCATCGGGTTAACATATTGCTAAGATCCATGCTGACATCCCCTAGGATAAAACGCCCTTTTCGCATGTTCGGCGATTCATCGTCCGGCCCAGACGTGGGTTCTCATAATGTTCGATTCAATTCGCACCGCCGAACAGAATAAACGCACAAAACGATTAGAGGACAAGTCGTGCCGCCTCACAACCCACGACCCACCTCAAACATTCATTTGACATTCAATTAAGGAAAAATTCCGAGCCAATACTACTAGTAGATTTCAAAGAAAAAAAAATAGACGAAAAAAAAAACATGCAATTTACTGGGTCTTTATCTAATTATGGCTGCTTGAAACGATAGCCGTTATTATTGGATTTCAATTTCGATTCACTCCTGAGGCGAGTCAGTTCCTTCGCCTGTAACAAGTTTTATTGCGTTCAAATCACGCGAGATGATGCGAGATGCGCAATTTGCGCGCCGGATAATGAAAAAATAGCGGCGTTTTAATACATCGCCGCTGGCGCGCGGTGAAATTTTTGAAAGCAAAATGATTTTATCGCACGCTCGAGTTTTATTTCATTTGCGGGCGGCGTGTGTGTCCACGCCCGACGTGCAAAATATACGAGTTTTGCGGGTGCGATGATTTCATTGTGCTCGTCGCCACACCGCCGGAGGTAACCCCGGGCACACAAAGACGCCCAATCAGACGTGCAACTCGCACTTATTGAGTTTGCAAACCGCGCGCCACTACCATCGCCGCCCCCGGTAATAAAATCAGCGCGCGGCCTAGAGAAAAGTGCGCCGGCATGTGAGGGTCCTGCAGGCGGCGCTGCAGCGCAAATGGAATTATACGTAGACTCTTCGGAAACTTGAGCGCGCGGAGATCCGAAATTGATTGTGTGCTTTCAGAGGCAAATATCCGTACTTTATCGACTCTTTCAGGTGGCGTGGATCAAGTCGGATACGAAGGCCATCCTCGCCATACACACGCACATGGTCGCACAGAACCAGCGTCTCTCCGTAACGCACAACGGGCACAACACGTGGAAGCTGCACGTGTCCAACGTGCAGAAGAACGACTCGGGTACGTACATGTGCCAGATCAACACGGACCCAATGCGCAGCCAGGTATGTACCGATTTTACTAGCCGGAGACCATTAAGTTAATGTGTTGCGCTTTTGTGTGCTTAAATCTGTGTTTTTCGCAGATGGGTACACTGGAGGTGGTCATCCCGCCGGATATACTCAACGATAACGAATCGACCGAGGGCGGCGGTGTGGCATTGGAAGGCGGCACCGTACGACTGAAATGCCACGCTGTCGGCGTACCCTCACCGACGGTCCTATGGCGGCGTGAAGACTCCAAGAGTTTAGTCTTTCGCAATGAGACCAGTCGCGAGAAGCAAGGTAAGCGCGACACGCCCAACGGAATCAATATCAAAACGAAGCAAAACGAAAACACTTTATTTACGCCCGCTGAAATAATATCTCATTGAGTTCTTTTCCGGCGCGCAGTGAGCAGATGGTGCGCGTTTTGCCTAATCCGGCTCTTTCCGACACTGCCGCCTCTTTGCCGCGCCGTCAGATTTGCATTCCACGCGCCGCTGAATATGTGCAATGAAAAATTCAACTTGCGCGTCTATCGGTACTTCTGACAACTCTCCGCCGCCACCGCCGCCACACTGTAGCCGCGCGCGCTGCATTTTGCTTCCGATAAATCCCTTTCTCATTTAAAATTTAAATCAGATATTATCTGAAAGAGTATGCGGCGGAATGATCTTGAGGTGTTAGGACGGCTGCCACCGCAAACGCCGCCTTCGCGCTGGGATTTGTATGCTATGTCCGGTGGCGGCGGCGCTTACGACCTGCTCGAATGTGCGTTAACACGTATCCTCCACCTGCGGAAAACCCGCCGCCATCGCATAAAGATACACGATGAGATTACCATTATGCGCGCGTTTTCGCTCGTTCCACTCGTGCAGCGGGCGAGGGCGATTATTAATTTCGATTGTGGACCGTGCACGTATCGTAAACGTCGGCGTTTTCCGCGTGCGCGGCGCTCCATCAAGCCGAAACGGGCATTGCAAGTGGCATTTATATCCGCCGGCCGCCCGGCCAAACATTTGTCTTTATTCTTACGATCGGCCGCGACCAATATACGTATTGCGCTGGCATGTTGAAATATCGCGACGTGTGTGCGTTTAAGAACTGCGCCTGACATTAGCAAATATATCGACTCCGTATTTGTCTTGCATGCGAGCGTACGAAATCCGGGCGCTGCGTATGCTTGCGAAAATTATTGATGTGCTGTTGGCTTCGATTTGCAGTGCAGCGCAGCTTCGACGGCGACACGCTGGTGCTCACCAACATCCAGCGCGCCGACATGGGCGCATATCTCTGCATCGCCAGCAACGGCGTGCCGCCATCAGTCAGCAAACGATTTTCAGTTCGAGTTCATTGTAAGTATTCCTCCATCATGCACATGATTTTTGTTATTTCATGTAATGCCATCTAAAATATATTTATTTTTTGTGTTTGTATGTGCTTTTTGCTTTGCAGTTCATCCGTTGATCCGCGTATCGAACCAGCTGGTGGCGGCGCCCGTCGCCAGCGACGTGCTGGTGCAGTGCTACGTGGAGGCGTCGCCGCGCGCCATGAACCATTGGACGCGCGACACAGGTAAGCCCCTCGGGGACCGGCTTAGTGTCCACACCATGGTCCGACACCTCTATATTCCCATAATCTACACCCGGCCGACGTGCGAAGGCCCTTTCATAAATCACTTTAAACCTAATTCATAATACCCGCAGTGTATGTTCCGCTGCTGCGACTGGTGACCTTTGAATTCCCTCGGCGCTGTTGCAATCTGACAATATGTGTTCGCAGGCGAGAAGCTCATACCGAGCGATAAGTACGCCATGGAGGAGACGGTAATCAACGAATACTCTCTTCTCATGAACCTGACAATACGCTCGTTAGAGAAGAAGGACTTTGGCGGATACGTGTGCACGTCATCCAATGCCCTCGGTAAAGCAGAAGGCGTTGTTCGACTCCAAGGTAACAACAACGCATTTTATTTCTATTTTCTTCCCGAAATACAACCATTTTTTGACATCTTCACAGAATTACATTTAATAGTGAAAACCACCAGTACAACACCAGCTCCACGCCGCGTGGATTCCAAACCACGGAAACCTTCACACAAAGAAAAACCCACCAAGAAATACACACGTCCCACAAAAGGTAGGAAGGACGGAACACTCCTTGGAGGTGACGGAGATGATGAAGACGAGTCAGGAAGAACAGCATCACCGGAGTCACGCACTGCTGCACCTCCGCAATCCCCCACTCCGAGTATTACCAGAACACCTCCATGGGTGTTGCATCACAACCAAGCTGCGAGCAGTCAACATCCGGATGCATTCGCGTTGATAATGACGCTGCTGGTAATCGGCCTCTTGCTGCATTGCCCCTAATGGTTTCTTCTTTGTTTCAACTTGCGTTGCGCATCTTCACACCGAAGTCTTCCTCGTGCGGCTCGACACACACGAAAGTTCGTGTCTTCCCATTACGTTTAATCGATTGGTTCTCATTCTAGACAAAACTAAGCTAAGTCAAAATTAAGTATTACGCATATCTAAATTTAAATTTACGAGGACTATGAAAATGTACAGGGTGCTCTCATCGGGTTTCTAGTTTCTATATATTAGACACACACACACATATACAAAGGATTATAATTGTAGTTGATCAGGTGCACAACAATAACAAAAACTTGCAAAGGTAAGTTCCAAACACGAATCACATGAACAGAGAACATCGAGCGTGCGGCGCACAAAACCCCGAACGGAACGCATCCAGACAATAACAATGGCAAAGACAAAACAACCAATCGCAACCGAATCACGTCGTTGTCTCACGCGCTTCGAAGCGGAAGCCGTTTGAAAATATGATATATCGTGCTGTGTGGAACTTGCGCAGGCAGTCGGAAACAGTTCTCATCCCTCTATACCGCAATCCTTTGCCTCGTGTATCGACACGCCGATGCAGAATCAGCATCTTGATAAATCATACTTATTTGTCAAGTTGTGGCAGAACATTTAAAACGCACGAAATGGTAAATTATTTCGTGCCCTCTTTGCCGAAGAAAACCGCAAAATACTTCCACTTGAAAACCGATGGGATAAAAGAATGTGAATTTCGTATCGGCGCAAAGGAGGCGCTCGCATTGTCGACGCCGGAATACTAATTATACTCATCGAACGTTTGAGGACGTTCTTTGCAAAGGCGCATCGCATTCATTCCGCATCCTTGTGAATAAATAGCAAGCGGAAACTATTATATATATATATATATAACATTTTACTAGGGCAATCATTTTAATAAAAATATTCCTAGGTAAGATGTAAAAGGCACAAAGTGGAAAGATGCCGCATTGAATGCGATGTCAATCGGTTGAAAAGCGCGCGCCGTATCAATTATCGGCCCGGCGAACGCTTCACGCTACATTAATTAATAAAACATTCGCCGCCGCCGCCGCCGTCAGTGAACGAGAACATGAACGTTTTGTACATGTTGTATTAGCATGAGCACACATCACAAACTAGCGCAGTGTTTGCGCTGTGTTTGTCATGAGTGTGGAATGAGATAATTCGGCATGTGCGTTTTCCCGACGCGATAAACAATTATTTATGCGTTAAAACATATGATGCATTAAATGAAACGAAATTAACTGCTTTCTAAACACGCGCAGGCAGAGAGAGGAAAAAAATGACACACGGTTAATTATAATGCTTGTGCATTAGTTATTCTAATCCTGCCGGACACCAGACAACATGCGAATGCTATTTGTACAACACAACAAACAGTTGTCCGTGTGTACACGCGTGACATTTTTCGGGGTCCGGAAATTTATTATGCCGACTCATCCATCCGCTTTTCGGGCGCCGGCTTTTTAATTTTAAACGCGCCGTTGTCAAACAGAACTATTTCGACGCAAGAAAGTGTTTACTTTAATCCTCAAAAACGTCCCTGCTTTGCCAAAGTCTATTTATTTAAAAATTGTTGTTGACTTTTTTTGTGTGTTGGCGCCGGAAAAGGAAGGCGACACACGTTCCGACGTCGATCGCTGGATTTATGCGAATATAAAGCGAAACACTGGTAGCCCTGGAATTCATTTAAAGTGGGAACTCGTGAGATGGCGGTGGCGGTGGGTGTGTGGAGAAAATAACCCCGTATCTGTCGATCAAGACGCGTGTGGATCCGGGACGGCCATCCTTGTTCCACGCGCGCCTATATTTTATTTTATAACTTGGCGCCGCACAAAGAAAAAAATACAGAAAAGCGAGAGGCAACACGCGGAAACACAACGCCTTCAGCTGAAGAGAACACAGAAAACCGAAGGCTGAAAAAACGGACGAGCAAACTTTTAAAGTATCATTTATCGGCGTCGTAATATTTTCGGTTTGCGTTTGCGAAGGAAATCCATCGTGTCTTCCGATATTAAATCCGCACGCCAATCGAATGCATGAACAATTAACAACAATGGCATAAAATTGTGGTTTTATTGCGCCGTTAAGGTTTTGTTTCGTTTGTTCTATCTGCTATCTCTATATGTATGGCTTTGGGAATGCGCAGAGAACGCTTTTTTTCAGTTTGCGTTTTTTTCGTAATCATCGGATCAGTGCACCCGCAGGGCGCAAACAAAACCGTTCGTCCTTGCGGCGTGTACGCCTCATGAATATTTCGGTAATTAATCACATTCTACCGCAAATTTTTCTTTGCGTTCCGCTGCGTCAATACAATAACATAATCCGAAGGAAGTTCCAAATTTACCGAATGTTGCGAATAACCCGCAAGTTGATTAGACTAGAATAAAAACAATTTATTTACGGCGGCGATTTTTTAACAAAAATAAATTGCGTGGTGTGGTAAGTAGTAAAACGCAGGCGCTCATAGGTGTATCCAATCATTTCGCGATTTGATAGAGGAACAACAACAGCACTGGCCAGCGTAATAAACCCGCGTCTGGAGAAAACGATTTGGCATTACCGGAATGCGCACTGGCGCCCGGAATGGCACAACAAGAATTTTAAGATTAACATCACAATTACGCCGCAGCGCTTTCGGTTTTTATGCGCGCACACACCAATTTCGCGGTGAAATGTCCCGTAAAGTTGGATACGCAACTATAATTTTTGCCCTTTGCTCACTGGATCCCCAAACACACTCGAAAACGAACTAAATACTGAGCGTACACAAAATTAAGGCCGGCCGAAATGAATTTATTTTTAATTACGTTAAATAAACTTTTCGTGGTGAGATTTGTACGTGTCTAACGAATGCGAAGCGTGAGCATGACGAGAGATACAGCGGGAAAAAAAAATAGAAACTTGTTGCTGAACAGTGCACAAAATGCTTTATGCCTCTTTAAATATGTAAGGACGTGCATAATGGATAAGCGCTCGACGCGCGACGGCGGCGGTGGTTATATTCGCACAGATGATACCCGGGAGACAAGCGGCCCTCATCGTCGGCCCGCCATTTGCGCACATAAACCAAGATTGAATTTAACGCGGCGTTCACTCGCCGCGCAGACGATATAAATCAATAAAAAGTTTAAACTTTTATCGCGTTGCAACTTGTGTCGCTCTGAATCACAAGCAACAATTATGAAACGTCGGAATTCCTCGGGAAATATGACAAACACGCAAATAATTGCTACGCGTCCGTCCGACGCAGCTAAAAATAGCATTTGTTGCGGTTTTTACGCGCCTTGTTGCACTATATCGCACAATGCAACACTGGGAAAAAAGAAGCGGGCAAACAAATAAATCGCAGCGTACTTGTGCCGGCCCGCGCCGGGGAAAAAAAAGCAATAAACGCGAGGAGGAAACTCAAAAAAAGTATGAAAGGAAAAAAACAACGGAAAGTTTGCGCTTGTGTCAGGGGAGTGCGCTTTGCAACATTATCTTCTTCGATTCATAGTTATGTAAAATTTCTTCCACGGACGATGGCAGTGTCCTTTCTCGCCAGCGTTAATAAATAAGGCGATGAGGCACGGCCGAGCGGACGCGCGCCGAAAGCGTCGAGATTGAATAACCGAGCATTACCAGCAGGCGACGATGGATGCAGGAGCAGGACCAAACCTAACACTAACACCGTGCGCGCAGCTGAAAAACGCCAACGAAACTTTTTACATCGATGCCGCTCCTGCTTCATTCCACTCACCCCAATGCTTTGGCAAACTTGAGACGAATTTCAATCACCAAACACTAGAAAAACAAATTTTTACTCGGACCCTAAATATAATAATATATTTCATCGCAATTTTGTACCAAACCGGTTGTATTTGAAGTTTACAAATGTCAAGTAAATAGAAAATCGATTGCGAAATACAAAGAAACATCGCACATATCGTAACACACAAAAGCTTATGACTCACAGAGTTGGCAATTCGCGCACACAGCCATTATTATATTGTTAATATTGCAATTACAGCGAGCGTGCTGGGTTTGCGCAGCTCGAGGGTAATTTGATCCCAAGATGGGGGAGTGCGCGCAATGCGAACGGTATTTCGCTAGTTGGTTCGTTGTAAACAAGGCAGAAACAATTCCGCCATCGTTAGTTGGATGAGATCAACACACCGAGATTGCAACAAGCCGACTAAGACCCAGCGCGCACGAAATTAACTTATTAAAGTAAAACATCAACACGCGTATGTGACTCTCAATCGCAGTCGCAGATTGAAACGTTTCAGATTAACCGTTGTTGTATGAAAACTGCAAAAACAAACAAAACTTTATCAATTCATAGTTACAGTACATAGGTAAATTTGTCATTCAAACTGTGTGTTATCGAGTTGGAATGGTGTGTTAATAAAGCAATCGGGAATTACAGCTGGTATCAGTTTAATCTCGTGCATAAAAAGCGAAAATAAAAAATGAACTCAAAGCGAGCGCGGCTGTCGAGGGCGTACAGGTAAATTCAATTCGACGGCACACGCATGGTCAATGCGGAATTTATCTGATTATCTCGTTGGAGCGTTGGAACGAGACGGAAGCCTCGCTTATCGGGAGCTTTTCAAAGTGTTGTTTGTTACCGGCAAACACCACGGCACGCCGAACGCCGGCAGGTGTGGAAAGCAACAGGCACAAAGTCGGGGCAATTCATTAATTTATGAAATAGTTGAAATACCTGCTTGGAAATGTTGTGCATGATAAAATACACAATTGCTCATTTTTTGCATCAAGCAGAAATTTTTTTTTATTTCAAAATGTTTAGTTTTTGCTTAATTACTCAAAAATTATTAGTGTTATGGGAATAAAAGTTTTAACAAAATATTTACAATTAAATTCTACGTCAGTCTGAGTTAAGTTATCACTAATCGGATGATTATTTAAAAAATTATTAACAATTAAAGTTAATTTTATAAAAAAAAAGTTTAAACTTTTAACAATTATTAGTAATCACCGATTTAATTTCTAATTTCGATTGAAAATTTAATTGGCTTTTAATTTCTGTTTAAAATTTGAATGCATGTTGATTGGATTTCGAGTAATTAATCAATAACTATAACTTTTGAGCTAAAATTTTACCTCTTTGTGAAAATTCGAACTATAGACATCCTAGAACTAAACAGAGTGCTTTATTTGTTCATCAATTTTGTTTTGATATTTTCGGAATGTAAGAGTTAACCCAAGATAGATCGGTTATGAGAATTTCATGTCGAAAGAATGCGCTTTCCGCGCGTTTATCGAACACTATTGAACACAGTGAACCACCGCTCCCTTCAACGGAATGCGCTGCGAAAACTGCGCGCTGGGAATTTTCCCGATCCGGATAAATCTCTCGGCCATTAATGCCAGTGCACGATATCAACTGATTTAGAAAACCAAAACGAACTTAAATTAAAGCAAAAAAATATTTATTGACGCAAATAATCTCAAATCCAAAATTAGATTCCAAAACTTTTGATCGTTAAAACAACGACAATAAAAACCAAGCCACCAAACAATTAATGTATATGAAGTTGTGCAGTAAACTAGAATACTCGATTCGATGACAATAAATATTACAATAACTTAGATAATATTTAAGTGGAGCCATTGGTAAATCCGGCCGGAATCGGATATCGGAAAGCGGCAATTGTTCGCTGCGAAATAAACAACACATGTCGAAACATTGTCGCCGGCAATATCGCGCCTTCCGCATTGTTATTAAACGTTTGGAGCCGCGAGCGAGCAAAGTTTAGTTTATGCGCGCACAGCCTTCGATTTTCAGCGGCGGCGGGCGCGTTCAGCGTTGAGCATTTCCGTCGCGGGAAATTGCCGCTTGGCGAAAGGGTTACGAGTGCACCAAGTCGTTAAAATTATTTTAACAGCTGCGATATGACGAAATAGTGCGAGCCTATGCGCCGCGCGGAATATATGATTTATTATTTGACAATTAGTCGTTGGTGTGGCAGAAAGGAGAAAAAGTTTGCGTTAAGTTGGCGCAGATGGCGCAAGTTGCATTTGCATGCATTTAAAACTCGTTCGGTAAATGTTTAAAAGCTTACGGAAATCTGTTGGCGCGAAAGAAAAGGTGTAATTCGATAATTATCTCAGGCTTCTCAGGTTGCAGCCGACAGTTAAACACGGCGAGAAGGCAAACGCGTAAGAGCGACCATCCACTCAGTATGCAATGCAATTATGTGATACGACGATATTCCGGCACTCGACCCGGAGGCGGCTAAAGACGAGCCCCTAATCCGGCGCTCGGGCGGGCGCGAGCGCATAGAGAAAGGTTCACTTTGCGTAAAATAAAGATAATCCCGGCTTCCTGGCCCCCGGTATGCGAGCGAGGACCGAGGACGCACGCTCCTGACGCTCTTCGCGATCCTGGCGCTCCTCGACGACTACCCACTCCCCGGGATGCTCTACACGCGCGCGGAATGCACACGCGTCCGCACCGAGCGCAAATATGCCGTGCATACTCGGCGCTCGGTGGATAAGTGAAAATAAGCAACACCACGTCGCCGCCGCCGAGGCCCGAATCCATCGCCACCCTTAATATATTCCATTATCAACTATTCGCCAACTATTTGCGCCGCACGCGAGACGAGACGAAATATTGCCGATAATATGGGCGGCCCAAGGAAATTGAATGTAATCTGTTCGTGGAAATTCGAATTTGCGCTGAAAGCGGCTGGTTAAACTGGCTAAACATTTGTTCCACCAGTGGTTCACTTTGGAAAACCCTTAAAAGTCAGTTAAGCATGTTGAAACGTCGAACAATTAGTCACAACCTACAAATTTGGATCTCCGACCTTTCGGAAACGGACAAACGAGGAGCAGGAAACAAAGGACTGCCAGGCACAAAGTAAAAACGTTTAATATTTTTTTAAAGAGCGGCCGGAACGTAGAAAATGTAAAAAAGGGGCATTTTTTTCGGGGAAAGAATGTTAAAATTTGTCCAAAGAACAAACGAAACAAATCTTTATGAATGCAAACATAGAAATAAAATATTTGGCGTCAATCCTTTCTCTTCCTTGTTAATAATAATAAAATTTGTGTTTACGTTCCTTCTTTGTTAAAATATTCTAAGCTTGTATATACATATTAATGACATTTAAACTTATGCAAATTGAATGAAAAATTCAACTATCATCAACTGTTAATTTGTTAAAAACTGTACATATTCTAAACAGATATATAAAAATTAAAACAAAAGTAGCAGATGAAAAAAAAAAAAAAAGAAAGAAAAGAAGAAAACGAAATCTAACAAAACGTAGAAATAAAATTCGTTATTCTGTTATACAAATATTTAACAAACAATAATTGAGTAAAAGGAAACTAAACCAGTGCGAAACAGAAACCGAACAAAACATATTCAATAAAAATATCAATAAAACAATATCACATAATAATAATAAAAGAATAGTTCCGGTCATACTGGAGGTAACATATTCGTAATGTATTTTTGAAAATATACAATTATCAAATACCAATAATATCCAGAGAGTAGAGAGTTGGCCAAAAAGCAGATCAGAGGCAAATAAACACCAACAACACAACTGACGCAATCACCAACAAATGTTATGAAAATTACGGAAATGCGACGACATACGGTTAATTAATATCCGGAAATATCCCGACACATACTGCTATCGAAATTGTTTACCGACGAATGGCGAACATCAGCGTGCATCGCGAAAGAAACAGCTTTATGATTTTGCGATTTTAGCAGCGCGTATAAATAATGAGCACGAGATTTTATGAATTTGTGAATATCGAAATTTGTTTAGCTTGGCGAAGAACAAACCTACAAAATTATTAAAATCAATGCAATTAATTATATTGCCGCACAATTTGAGAGCGTTATGGATTTAATTTTGCTTGCGCAAACATTTGGTTGGTGTTAGTTTAGAGTAATACACTTATGTTAATGAAGTTTTGATTATAAATTATAAATTAATCACAAACAAATACGAAAATTGTTATTTGTTGTTCGATTTTAAGTTGTATCAATGTAAAAAAATGATGAATCAAAATGTTTACGATTAAGTACACACAAACACACACAAGAGAAAGTTCCAAACACTAACGAAATTCTAATGATCATGAAAACAATAAATATCAATAATTTTAATATCAATTAATTGTAAGAAACATAATAAGAACAAATACTGTAACACACGATGTTTAAAAACAACATAAAAACAATGAAAAGATGAAAAAGTAAAAAATGAATAACAAACTGTTAACTATTTGTTAATATCTTATATATTATACCTAAATAATAATCGGTGTAACATTGTGAATGTAATACATATTTACCTTACCTGAAAACGGAAACAATAAAATGCAAACCAAACAAGTGTAATGATAATAACGATGTACAAGAGTGCGAACATGTATGCAATCTTCCAAGAAAAGAAAAAAAAACAAAGAAAAATATCAAGAGATTAGTGTGTGAAATAATTCGCCGAAGCGGGCATAAAAAACTGTTGCGATTGTATAATTGATGACAATAATTACGATTCAATAATAATAAATCATTTATACCAGTCGGTGGCTTCATTCGCAAGCGATTACTTTATTATCCTGTCGTCTTTTGTTCTCTTGTCGTTTACTCTCGCTTCCTTAATGTCGGGCGCTAATTTAATTCGCCTCCGGCGGCACGTGGAGATATTCACGAGAGTACAGATGGCAGGAAATGTTCAAATGGTATATGTCGCGCCATCTGTGAGTTAAAACCGTAACTAAATATCCTGCTGAGTTGCAGTGGTGGAAATTTAAAGTGAAAGGGATGAAAACTCTAATAGAAGGTAATTTAAGGGCAGATTTCTATAAGGAAACAAATTCTAGAAATCTTTTTGTGATGATTTATTAATATTACGATAGATGGCGGTTGTAAGACTAAAATATTACGTTTATTCTTATCTAAAGTTAACGGTTTTGTTTTATTGGTGTTTTTATTGTCACCAAATAAATTTTTTTAGTAGAGCAAAGATAAAATTAATAAAAGTTTTAATAACTAGTGTTTCTTGGCGTTTCCTTGTTTGATTACGGGAAATAAAAGCAATGTCTTAACCTGACTGTTTATCTCGCACCTCTTGTCCGCAAGTTTGCCGGTTTGCTTGCCCGCCCTCGCCGCTATTGTTTGGCGTTTGCCCTCCGACGAAATGCCCGCGTTGCTCACCGCTTTGTGTTTTGCAGCGACGCATTATAAATGGCGATTTTATGCAACATTTCGCTCGGCGATCTCTCGCCGCGATTGTGCGCGAGCATTCGCGAGTTATCTCATCGTATTTCGTCGTTTTTGTCCTCTCGCACGTCAGAAATATACGACGGGCAGACACGAGTGAGTGTTTAAATAAATTTGTTTTTTAAGCAATTTTTCAGGTGAATCAAGACGCGCGGAGAAAGAAATATTTTAAATGAATGCAAATTGTTAGGTTTAAGTGAGTCAAAAATGAATGCAATATAATTTTGATTTAAAAATTACTCGACATTCCCGGTTGGTTTTTGGGCGAAAGTTCCTAATCAGGAGCACCTTATCGGCTTAAATTTCATTTCTATTACGCCTGCTATGCTTCCTTCGGTGGAAGGTGTTTGGGAGTACTTTGCACTGAATTTGTTCCACTCTCAAAGTCTAGATACTACCTGCTTCGGATATCTATGTGTGTGCGTGGTGGTGGTGGTGGTATCAAAGTGTGCATTTGCCGACTCAGATTATGCTTATACTCTGCCGCCTCCACTGCGCCGAGCTGTGAATTCTGAATTTCGAATCTGCACCGTCGTGGAGATTCTTTGCATAATCATATTGCGCGATCGTTTTCGCTAAACACGAGACAACTCGTATGCAAATGAAGTTGTAGAGAAACGGTGCGCGCCATCACGCGGACGCTACGTGAAATATAATCGATGTGCGTTTTCAATTAACTTCCCATTCATTATTTAGTGCTTCGGTTGTTGCGCACCGCGCTGATATGCGATATGGCAGAGACAATAAATGCTAAATACGATTTTGTAATGAGCGGTCTAGAGCTGTTAATTACATGCGCACGTTTTGATTGCATTGTTTTCACTTTCCTGAATTCAAATTGAACGATTATAGAGACAGCAACACAACACAAATACAAAGATTAAAATACAGTTAAGTTAAGTAATGAAAACTCTACCTGCAATTAAAAATATAATAAATTAGCTTTTGCCCGTGACTTCCGGTTTAATAAAAATGTTTTTCGTTTTTTCTCTTCTGTTCTAGACATATGTGTCAATTCTATCAATAAGATTTGCAATTTTATTTTAAAGAAAGTAATTATATAAAGAATTGCTTATAATGCACTTCAGCACGCCATCTCGGATTCAACTATTTTACTATAACTATGATTGAATCTCCATGCCAACTTTTATCTTATAGAAAAGGGCTGCCTTTAGGGTTTTCCCAACAATTATTCGAATTTTTCTCACCGTAAAAACCATCCTTGGACTTTACCACACATTTTAAAAAAAGAATTGGCCAAATTAATTTAGGCGTTGTGGAGTTATGAGCTTACTAACAGATTTTGTGATTTATTTTTATATTATAGATTTAACTTGACACGATAATAATCTCTCATAATCCCAGAAATAGTAGAAATCCAGGAATTTATTTAATTGAAAATGAAATTTAAAGAAACTTTGTTTGTCCCCAAACCTAAACTTGAAAATTTTTCGGTGAAAAATGCAAAAAAATTAATGAAATGTTCCACCCCTTAACCAAGCACGAAATTATCAATATTATGATTAGACATTACACGCGGCAGCCATGCTCGGCTTGTGCAAAGAGAGCTGAGTGAAAAATTGGCGTGAAATGTAAAGAAAAGACACTCGAACGCTTTCAAGGAGCTTTCACTTTCACCTCGGTGGAAAATTTCCTCAGCGCGCGGTGAAATTTTCAGTCGTCGCCTCGAATGTATGAACAAGCGAACAAGGATGTTGTTCCATTCGTCCTGCGATGGCATGGGGTGCGCGCACCGCTATTGACCCAGATACCTAGGCGCGTAATGAAGCGGTATCAGTTCGACGAAGAGCGCAAGAGCACTGCGAACGCAAATCTAATAGTTAAACTCCCGGCGTGTCCTCGGGTCCTTCTGGTCCTTCCACACCACTCCGATCCACTCTACGAGGACACTTTCCGACGAGTAGCATGAAGGGGATGGGCGTTTATTTGCACGAGTCGAATTTAATCGCCGCCTGCCGACTGTAATGGCTGCAAAGTTGCAAAGTACCCATTACAACTGCCAAAAATTCAAATAGTTGAAACATAAACATACAGTATGTACAATATTTATATTTTTTCTTATATTAACTACTAGCTTTTGCCCGCAACTTCGTCACGGTAGTGTTTAATAAAAATGTAATTCGTTTTTACTCTCTTGTTCTAGACATAGTATGTGTCAATTCTATCAATAAGATTCGCAATTTAATTTTAAAGAAATTAATATAAGAATTGCTATTAATGCACTTCAGCGCGCCATCTCGGATTCAACTATTTAACTATAACTATGATTGAATCTAAATACCAACTTTTATCCTATAAAAAGGGCTGTCTTAAGGGTTTTCCCGGCAATTACTCAAGTTTTTCTTGCCGTAAAAACCATCCTTGTACTCGAACAAACATTTAAAAAAAATAATTGACGATATTAATCCAGGCGTTGTTGAGTTATGCGCGTACCAACAGATTTTGCGATTAATTTTTATATTAAAATACATAACTAACAATCACAAAAGTATTATTATCTATATAACTGAGATTAAACAAAGTTTACTCGTGGTAATTTCCGTATCTATATTTGATTATGTAAGGTTAAGTTAGGTCAAACAAAAGTTAGGTTAAGTACCTCATTGAATTCGGTTGAAATTAAACGGTTGATCTCACCGTAGCGTCGGCGTTATATTTGATTGTGTTACAGGTGGTCTTGGCGGCGGCAACGGCGGCGGCACTTTGTTTATTTAGGGTCGCGCTCGTGTCCATATTTGCTCACACGCGGGCGGTCGGCCGGCCGGCCGAACAAGATGTAACGCAAATACTCGTGGCCGTCGAGATCACCCGCCTCGAGACCTCGGACGGCCAAAGTGCCCGATAATGTCTGATAACATCCAAGGGTATTTCCTCACTTGAACTACCCTTCGAAAATTTCATGTTTATTGATGATTAGCTCGAATTGATTTCGATATAAATTGCGAATTAATCAATCAGTAATAAATTAAATAAAAATTATTATGTTTTTAATTAATTTCTGTTTTTATTATGTTGATTTTGTGCTAGAGTAGAAGCAATAGTAGTATTATCATACTGATATTGACGGTGGTCGGTGCAAATGACGGAATGGCAATTTCCCGACTATCAAATCCGGTTAATCGTCTTTGTTGTCAGAAGGCAATCAAACTGACCGTGGAAAATCGATGCCCCGCATGCAAATGCAGATGCAATCGCATGAGAAACGCCGAAGGCAACGACGACTTCATTGCCAGCATCGTGAGAATACAATATGAGGCAAAATATTCGAATGGCCGGCAAGAATTTCTAATTACATACAAGGCTGCGTTCGGCATTCGGGAAGTATTTACGCGTTTATTCAATATCTGGAAATCAGACGACGTTATCTGATGGATATTAATGGCCCGACGGAGTCGGATAGAAATCCGTTGCGCACGACGAAAAACGAAAGACTTTTGTACGAACAAGCTGAGATAGATAGACGTCGTTCTGGAGCACGCGCCGCCGCATAAAAACAATTTTCAACTTTTAAAATCGCATAACTGTTAAATGGTAAAGAAGAAAATTGAATAAATTCGAGTTTAAGAAAGTGGAACTCGAGATACCTACCTGCTTACACGCCGCGAGTCGGCCGGGGTGGGAAAACGAGGAAAACGAAGGGGAATTTAAACGCTCCGCGCGACTTCGACTCTCCGGCAAAGCCAGTGGAAAAAGGACGCGCCGAGGCGGCGGGAAAATTGATAAAGTTTTCATATGATGTTATCCTGGAGAGATACTTACACCGCAAACTATACTCACCCATTTTGTTCGGGGTAATTTTTTTACTTTGGATTTTCGGTCGGTGGGACGACTTCGTTCGCATCGTCATCGATACGCTTATTCATCCTGAAAGAAATCTAATATTTGTTTAACAAATATTTGATAATTTATTTTTCAATTTAGGGGAAACCCACTCGTACATGATACAATTTTTTTTTAAAAACGATTTATACATGTTCATCAATAAAAAATTACAAAAAAATAATAAAAACTTAAATAAAATTTAAAAAAAACACCCTGTATATTGTGATATCCTGCGTAAATTTGAGTTTTTTTGAGTTTTTGATTTTTTTTCTTGTTAAAATTTTATTTTTATTCGGAAAGTTTTTAAATTTTAACATTTTTATTCCAAAAATTTGCTTTTTGTTAATTAATTAATTAAATAAATCGTTTACCTGGTAATAATTCGACCTCTTACTAGTGGCGTTCAGTAGTGAACTTAGTGCCTTACTTTTGCACATTTGTAAGTCATTTAATCCGTTAATCTTGACAGATGAAGGCTTTGTGGTCGTCGGCAATTTAACACCGCACGTCTCCGCTCGGCAAGACGTTTGTTTCCGCCGATGGAGGCGGCGTCGGCGGCGGCGTGGTCCATCAATCAGTCAGTCATAAATGCGACCGTCGAACTTTTGTTATTTATTACGTTAGAGTGTTAAGTTTGTACGCGCGCCCGCCCCTCCGTCACCGCCACGGTGAAATCGTCCCGTTCGAAGGGCGGCGACTCGCATTTCAAAAGCCGGCGCGCGGACTCCATAATCCGGCAAGCAAGCAAGCAAGCAAGCAAGCACCTAATGTCTGGAGCAGACCGGGCGCAAAGTTCTGGTCGCCTCCGCCACCGCCGCTGCCGCCTCACGCCACACTTCATTCAGACGCGTTTCGTTCGAACGAGTGGAAAACGAAAGAACCGTAATAGAAAATAGAAATTGCTCTCGGTTTCCACGGGCGCCGAAAATTCGGAATCGTTATACATCCGCAGCATGCAAGCACGCGACCATCTCCAGCCACCCCCCAGCCTCCACCCGGCGAGGAGCGAATTGAAATAGAAATAGAAAATAGGAATAGAGCATGGAATGGAATACAAGAAAAGCGTAATTGGTCTGGGTGAGCGGGCGCGCGCGCGTGCCGCCTTCGCGATGCGCCACTCACACACCAGCGCCATCTCTGTACCAATAGTCGAGAAGAATACGCAGGCATGTGTATGTGTGCGCCGCACGCACGGTTGCTGCGCCAGTTCTAACCCAGATGGGACAATAGCTGTAAAATTGAAACTTAATGAGGTGTGAACGGTGGAAATTGATATTTAAAAGAGGCCAGCGAGCAGGAAGCGGGCGGGAGTTGAAGATAATCGCAGAGCCGGAAAAGCGTCGCGACGATCTGATTTGCAAAACAAAACGAAACCGAATCGAAACAAAACGCCGCCACCAAGCTATACGATGCTATAATGAGCGCCACCCGTCCGGAAGTGCGACAACATGCAAAACCACCCTTGTTAACCACCTTCGATCGTTCGGCGAACCAGCACCACCACGTTCCGTTGTTATTCAAATCAATGACTCGATAAATTATAATGCTGATGTATTCGCTTTTGATTTGCAAAGTTTTTGATCCCTGCAATGCTGCACAATATTTTGCAAGGACAAACAAAGCAGGGTTGTATTAAATTTTAAATTTTTAACCAAAAAAATTTTCTTAGAAAAAAACCGACACCAGTTGTTTTTATAAAGCGTTTTGCATTTGCGTGTTCTAAGATGTTTTGCACCCTCTTTTTTTCAAGCATCGCGTACTATATATTTGTCGAAGCATTACAAGAAGATAAGTGGGAAGTGAATGTCTCTTTGTAAAAGTACGGGGAGAGGAAATGTGCAACAAGGAGATTTTTGCGTCGATGGAAAATTATTAAAGGGGTGCGTTTTTTTTTCGTCTGCGTAGGCGTTGTTTTTGGCCGAAAGTGCGATATCGCTTGCGTCGCGGGTGAGAAACGAAACGTGCATTGTTTCCAGCGTGTTTTTAGGGGTAACTTTAGGGAGATGGCGGAAAACGAGCAAAAAAGAACAATTTGCATGCATCTCCACAAAGTATGGGCAATAGCTGTGTGTTTACCATTGCTAGCACCCTCACTGAAACTCAAATGAATGCTCTCTAAACAAAACAGAGGTGTAATTTAAAATAAACATTATTTAAAATGTTTAAAAATACCTAAAATCCATTAAAATTTAAAGAATTTTAAAAAAAAAAATAGTTTTACGCAAGTTTTATAAGGTTTTTTATTGAGTACGGTCCTGTATTGCTCTTGTGCACGACCAACAATAACTTTACGTCGGTTTGTGAATTTGCACACACATATTGATTGTTGTTGTTCGTCAAACTATGCTCAGAATGTCGATGAACGCATTTATTAGACGCAAACGGTTTCTCAATGCCTTAAGGAATCCCCCACCTCCTTGCTTAACACATATACAGTCAATACTAGTCCGGAAAGCTTAAACCTCTCAAATTATGACGAAGAATTTTCAACTTACAACAAAACAAACAAAGCAAACAAAACGTCATTTTCTTCATTTACATGCAAAGTTATTATCTTCTTACATAATTCCCTTCAAAGTTCCAAAAATAACATCAACATTAGATTATGAATTAATTAAGTTGCAAATTGCATAATTTTGTCCTTTGAGGTTATGTTTGCATAACCAAAAACAAGACATAACCTTTCTATGATTCAATGATTCGTTATTTGAGCTGCATGTGCCCGGTAAAATAGACGTGGACAATTTCATCAGTTTGGTACTTTTCGGAGCATTGTAGTTGCCCTCTGGCCAGTCATTCTATCCCAGCTAAATTAAATGTAAAAGAGAGATGGATAGAAGGGCGGCTGCGATGGTAGACGACCCCCAGTTGAAATTTAATTTTGAATCGCATTATTTCACAAGACAATAAATCGATCCCCGCCGGTTTTGTTTGCATATATTTTCGGCGCTATGCAAACAAGATAAAAGACCAATACAAAATAAAAAAATATCAACAAATATATATAAGTAGCTTTTGTCCGCGACTTCGGCCTGGTAGTGCTTAATAAAAGCGTAATTTGTTTTTACTTTTTTGTTCTAGACATAGTATGTGTCTATTCTATCAATAAGATTCGCAATTTTATTTTGAAGAAATTAATTATATAAAGAATTGCTAATAATGCACTTCAGCGCGCCATCTAGGATCCAACTATATAACTATAACTATAATAAAATTTCAATGCTAACTTTTATTCTATAGAAAAAGGCTGTCTTTAAGGTTTTCCCGGCATTTATTCTAATTTTTCTGGCCGTTAAAACCATCTTTGGACTTTAACGAACATTTAAAAAAAGAATTGGCCAAATTGGTCAAAGCATTGTTGAGTTATGCGCTTTCCAACATATTATATGTAGTAATATTTCCATATTTTGCAATTCATTTTTATATTATAGATGTAATGTAATGGTTTTTGTTACATAGCAATAAAATAATATAAAATTGTTTTCGGTAGAGTTGATTATTACCTAATTACTCACTTTCATCTCGAAGCGAACATCATTCAACAGGTAAGTGTGGCGCGACACGACTCCTGCCTTCGCTCTTCCTGATCCTTTTGCTTGTACTTTGTGTGCGTTCCAGGTCGTTCTGCCTGGTGCTGCAAGCCATCATAAAGCAAGCAGCAGCGGGACGCGGCAGACGTCGAACTTCTAACTCGATTTCATATACGAGTATATATACATCCTGCTGCGATGGCGGCAGACACAACTCCCAAACATAGATTTATGGCCCGCCATCCGGATATTACGAATATTACGGATAACTGTTTTATATGTGCGCCTAGAGACACCTGCAAATGTCTGCTTCTATTAGGCCCACGTCGCTGAGGTGCTGGTTTACATATTAAGAACGAATAAATAACTCTTCATTAGGAAAAATGAAAAGTTTTTCTGCCATTGCTCAATTCCCCAGCGCCTACGCATACTCATATGAAAGGAGAGATTTTTTGTTTATGTTTCCCTTGGTCACGACATGTTTAGAAATATATACAGAATGTGTTTTTTGAAAAATAAAATCATTCTAATTAAAGAAGTGGAAATAGTTGTGTTGGAGGAATAAATGAACTTTGCAGGCTATGATTAGCACGTCCTTGAGTTTCACTGGAGTCCTTTTTGGCGTAGTTATCCTTTATCCTTTGTTTAATTAGTGAGCGCTGAACAAATGCAGCAAGCAAGCTTCAATTTGCATTTGAGTGCGGTGCGCTAATCAAAACTAAGTTTTGAAATTTATTTTCTAATTAAAAAGAAGCGATCAATATTGATTATTATAAAAACAAAAATTTAATCAATTTTATCATCATCGGTGTGCTGAAAGGTCCAAAAAATAAAAATTTAGAGGCATTTTCTTCAAAACAGTATTTATTTATTTTTTTATTTCCTGGATCACTTTATTTCTCAACATGTTTTCCCTTTCGTCATTTTGATAACAATAAAATAACTTTTCCGTCACTAAACGTTGAAATCATACTTGAAACAATGAATATTTTTATACATATTTACCCAGCGTTCATTTCTGAATGGTTTACACATGATTATGCATGAATATGATTCTTTATTTATCATTTGCCGTCTCCGCAAAGTCTTAAACGGTATTCCGAATTAAATTTATTTCATTGTATACAAAACTGAACGACATTACACGATGGCTTTCCCTTCACTAATTTATATATAATATATATGTATATAGCAACAAAGACTAAGACATTGATCATGCTATGGAACTTTTTTTCATTTTTCGGTTGGCTAGAGACGGTCCATATACACGATGATATGATACAGACACTCAGCGTTTTGTAAAAGGTTAGCGAAGCACGAGTTTCATTTGACTCTTACATTTTTTTGGCACATTTGTATCGCTCACACACTCATTATCCTTTTTGACTGTTTGTTATTAGTTTCTGCTCGTTTTCACACACGTTTTATCCTCGCTGAATGTTGAACAATATGATTTACAAATTTAGATTTCGCACGAACGTAAGAAGTGTCCACAGCTGCAGGAGCGGTAAAGAGGTGGAAAACGCGCACTTTTCGTGAAGCAAGAGGGATGAAGAGGCGGTAGAGGTGGCACGCACCTCCGTCCGTACCGAGTTCTCGGAACCCGCCGGTTCGGTGAGAGGTCCTTGGAAGCCGTTGTTGTAGTGACCCACATCCTGATTGGAATCTTCAAAAGAGTCTTCTTCCATCAGAGTTTGTTCGTCGGAATCTACACGTTCTTGAATTTCCATTTCTATTTGTACCAAGTAGAAAAAAAACACACAAAAATGTCTAGAATATTAATATTATTATTAAACAATAGAAATTTACCATACAGACGAATATTTCCTTCTGCATCACCAATGGAATTCTTTGAGATACATTTATATCCCCCGAGATCCATTTTGTGAAATTTCCGCACAATCAACTTCATCTGCACACTATACACTGAATTAGTTGTCTCGGTCATTTGATACTTATCATTCGAGATGATCATTTCACCTGTGAATATAAAAAATAACTAATTTTGTTGCGTTTTGTTTTTATTTTTTAATTTTTTGTTTCCCGGGACATTGATGTTTGCAATGATTGCCGACCACTCCTGTTCCATGTTGGATTTCCGAGTACATTAACCAAACAGAGAACAGGTAGATACCTAGCACGAGCGGAGGGTAGAGGTGTACGTTACGCGCCGGTGAGTTCGATACCGATACCCCAGTTGCTGCATGGGGGGCAGTTCGTGAAAGCAAAGCGTGAGGCACATTACGAATTCCGGCGCGCGAATGGTCCGCGCGGCGGGCGTGATGCACGTGATTCACTTTACGTCCCATCGCGGTGGCGGCGGCGGCAACCGAAGAACACGAGTATCTATTTCCGAAAGGATTCCACTTCGTCGGGATATAATTGCGCGCAAAACTAAAAGCCATTAACATTAACATTAACGCTGCCAACGCTCGACTACACTCCCGCACGCATCTACAAAATATCACCGAGTTACCAGTTAAAATTCCATTATATACAAGTTAAAAAAAGATTTCGAAAAATATTATAAACATTGGATAATGTGAAGAATAAAACGTTGAAATCACTGATTCACGCCACGCGTTAACTTCCCACCGACTTTTAATAAGTTCACGAGCAGCCAAAAGTTCTCTTTCGATTTTCCTTGTGGGCTCGTAGCCGCCAGTTCCGGAGTGGATTACACCTCGGTGTTTTGTACTCGACGCGCGTGCGATCAGATACGAGCGCCGGGGCTCTATCTTATTGCTTTGTCGCGGACACAACAAGGCGCGAGGACACAATAATCCGCGCCCGGGACACAAAGAAATCGAGACATATCGATATCGACTCACCGCTCTCGCGGGTCCAATAGTTGATGGCTTTGGGGGATGCTTCCACATGACACTGCAGGGTGACATCCGTACTGATCGGTGCGCCCACAAGTTGATTTGGTACTTGTATCAATGGATGAACTGCAAATAAATAAAAGAAATAAATGCGATTTTATTTTTTTATTTGAATAAAAACTAAACTCGACGCTAAATTCAACATTCGAGTAGTCTTAACCGTAAACAATTTGATGGAGAACGAAACTTTTATCGGCGCGTTTTCCTCTCTCGGCGGAAAACTACCATCCGTGCGAAACTACCCGGCGCGCCGGAGCTAAGTAAACTAAATAATACGTGTAGTCATGCAGTCTCGGCCAAGCGCGCTCGCCGAACGTTACACCCGTTGAAGAATAGCAGTAAGTGCGGGTTTCCGGAACCGCCACCCCTTTCTGGCCCACCCAATCTCATTCCCGATACACTTGCTTCGCACGTCGGCGGCGAGGGCGGCGATAAGTGCGAGGTTAACACCGCTGCTTACGTACTTCTATTAAAGCATATCTCTTATCAGTTGACCATGGCTTGCTACAATAACATTTGTAAAAGGCACGAAAAAAAATCGATTATAAGAAAATCGGGCAAAAATTACATCTCAAAAGTGGTGTGAGATGATTGACTGCTTGTATTCATCGCTCTCGTTTTGTCTGCCGCCCCCTTGCTCGATGGTGCGTGGGTGTAAGAGTGCGCTGCGTTTATAAAGCAAATTGAAATTGTTTTAAAAGTTATTTCGGCATTTAAAATATGCGTTCGCTTCATTCGGGCCACGCTCGATCGCGCAACTTATCGCCAACTTCCACCCCCTTGAGCCACCACTCCCCCTCATTCAATATCCTTCAGAGAATCTTCACCATGTTCCCATCATACTATTTTCTTTCGGGCACTTTACATGCGACGACGAGATGAAGTTCATTTCTCCAACGCGCGCCTCGCAATGTAGCACAGCGCGCTATTATCTCAGCTTCTCGTCGGGTCCATTGAGACTAATTACATAATCGAAGTCGATTAGACTCCAGACACCTTCGGGTCGACTTTGCTTGCACATTCCTGGCCCACGGCCTTTGCTATCATCGGCACCCGTTTCTCGGATTAACCTTTTCGATAGTCGAACAGATCTAACATTTGCGTGCGGGCAACATCTATAAATTTTCGACTTTACACCGCGCACCCTGATCGACCTTCAATCTGAAGGTGGAAGGGGTTGCGGGCGGATATCCAGGCATTCCAGGCTAATTTCCTGCGCACGGACCCCTGCCGGGCCGAGTGTGTCGACACGCACGCTGTGTGAATTGGAGGGATGCACCACTTGATACCACGACCCTTTAGAGATACCCCTTGTGAAGGTGACACTTGCGGTCGTAGGCAAATCGAAAATCAAGTTGCCAATAATTGATTATCCTGCATGTCACTGGATTAATTTGAATTAGTTTTAGTTCTTTTGAATTTTTACACAAAAATAAAATAATAAATATTATGTACGACTTGACCGCCCGTATATAAAGTACCACTTTTTGGGTCCAAAAACCATACAAAAACCGGCGCTTTATAAGTAAAATAGAAAAAATGTATTAAATTATTTTTTTTAATATTTACATTTATTTTATTCATTCAACGCGCGTAAATTGTTAAACATTATTTGGTATCTCGTGTTTTGTGCATGCGAAACAATACCAGCCGCCTCCGAATACATTCGAGTGTCAAATTGGAAATGATATACACACGTGTGCAGCACAATGAGTTGGCTTGAAAAAAATACCAACGGCAGACAATTGTTTTAAAAAGCGCGCGCGCCATGAATATGCATGCGCGTCCACCGCCGCCCCCACAATGGCCGCGCGCACGCCAGAGGTAATGGACGCGCACTAAGTAGACAATGCGCGTCTGATTATAAACAACGGTAAACAGCAACACAACGCAATGTAACATGCCAGCGGTGGTGGCGGTGCGACTTCAATCATTTTGCCGACGTGCGTTCGCGCCGCCACCACTCATGGCATCGCTTTGTGCGGCGCACGCTCGGTCAGTTTCGCGAGTGCAGCGTAATTTATGTATTACATTATAGAAATGTATACGAGGCGTGAGCGTGAGCGCGAGCGCTAATAAACTTTCTGCAATATTTAACATTTATTAATGGATTTCATGAGCGTGCCGCGGCCGCAAAGGGACGCACTCGAATTTGCATCAAAAGGTGTATTAAACTCCACCACTCCGCAATGCGAACTAACGTTTCGATGTAAACTTTTAAATGCTTACAAACGAAACTTTCCCACTACATGTATCATACTGCTATATACGAGTATCTATATTTTAATTCAAAAAATCCGCAGTGAACTACTTTGCAAGGGTTTTACTCACAGTGTACATGCAGCATCATCCTTTTGCTCACTGCAGGTGGGACGTTGTTTGTTGCCAAGCACAAATAGGCCCCCATTTCACTCCTGGTGACTTTGGTCAGTGCCAGAATCTCGGTTTCTACCTCCTGTGTCCTCTCCACACGACCATTCGCTAATCTTGAAGCTATTGCTCCACCATCTTCTCGTCTCCATGTGATTTTTGGTTTTGGGTGTCCTCGAGCCCTGCAGATCAACTTTGCTGACCCACCTTCAGGAACCATCATGTCTCCTGATGTTTCTTCATAGATGATATCAGGTGGAACTACTACTTCTAAAGTAGCAGTCTGAAAAAACATTAAAAACGTTTTTTTTATTTTTAATTTAAAATTTTAAAGGAGATGATTATTGATTGATTCTAACCTGCATCTTCATTGGATCAGTATTAACCTGACACATGTACTGCCCGCGATCCTCCCGCCTGACCCCTCGAATGGTCAGCGTCCACGTATTGTAGTCATTGTGTTTAACTGACAGTCGTGCGTTGTTTGTGATGACATGATCATGAATCGCGAGGATAGCCTTGGTGTCCGCCTTGATCCATGCCACCTGTGGTGATACCCCAACACACATCAAATTAACATCCGTCAGGCGCCACTTTCGGCCGGCATGTTGTAAGATCAAGTGAAATGTGAGTTTATAAAATTAAGTGCAAATTGTGCTCTCACTACGGTGCTCAGTGTGCTCAAGTGCAAAATTTACTTTATATATAGATAACACATGCGTATTTTTTTTTAAATGCAAAAATGAAATTATTATCGCATCCCACAAATGGATGCAAATATTTGCAAATAATTGCAAATATCTTTCGGGTATATCCGGGCAAGTGCTGTGGCTGAGCGCAGAAAGTTGTAACGGAATGCATATTTTCAACTGCATCTCGACCGACCCGGTTTAAGTGCTTTCTCTGCGTTAGGGGGGCGGCAAGGCGGGGCGGCCCGTGGAACCGTGTCGTCGAAGGTGAATAACGCCATCTCGTTTGCATATGAAAGCGCGGCGTGTACGTGGCGTGACTTTCCTGCTTCTCGACCATCAGGACCGAGAACCTAACCTAAAAATACTTATAGCGATATTTCTATAATTTTTTTTGCTAAAAAACAACCAAAACTATTCATGAATTATATGGTTTTTCTACTTCTTCGCTCGCTCTCAATCATTGTCGTTTGTAATGCCCTCGTTTAGTCACTTGCTACTTAATATACTATTACTAAAAAAACAACCGAAACTATTCATGAATAATCCTAGTTTAGTTTTTAGTTTAGAAACAAGATTAAATGTCTAAACATTTCAATACCTTAAGTTTCATGTAGGCACTCATGAAAATTACACAACAATGACCTGTAAATCCCATAATGGCCCGCTAAAGACGTACTACGGTGACTTAGCCGCCCCCATTTAATTCTGCATCATACCCAGGCTTTCGTCGCTCGTTGGCTCTCGCATTCGAAAGAGCAACAGAAGGATTACACCGAATTTGACGACGCACAATGGGCCCGTCGCGCCTTTCACTCGACACACGCACGGATGTCATTGCCGCCGCCGCGTACCGCCGCCAACTCGCTCTGATCTGATTTAATCCGCTTCATTGTGTCCGACGACGAACATAACCGATAGCCGCACATTAACGGGATTGTTTCGAGTGCTGCCTCAGCTGACCGCTGCTTTTGTTTTCGTGCGCGTGTGCGAGAGGGCTCGCAAAGCTCGTAATTCGTCTACGGTAATAAATGTCCACAAAGTCGTGGCAAATCACACCTTTAACTCCGTCTGGCTTTTTCAATAAACCTCACGAAATAATCGCCTTTTGATCAAAATCTAATAATGAAATATTCGCATAGAAAAATTAAAACACGTCTGAGACAAAAGACTATATATTGTGTGATGCATTGTGTGATCCTTTGAAGGATTTATTTTAAAAATCTTTGCGCAAAGCGCGCAACCTTTTGATCGTGAGCCGTGCACAAGAATACCTGACGTAACGCGCTCGAAAGATACGGATACTGATATGAGTTAACAGTATAGGTATTACATAGCGTAGTCCAACAGGACTCTCTCTGGAAAGTAGGCTAACAATATTGCTTTCCCGCCTATATATCTCTAAATACGTGCATTTTTATTAAAATTCTTTTAAAATTTATTTTTCCTTCAATTTTTGCTGTTTTAATCTTGACATCACAATTTTGATAACATTTTGTAACTCTTTTACTTATACTGATGTTTTGCGAGTGCATTTGACACGATTTTATAAGAAATTTCAGTGTAATATAAAATGACAAATTAAATTCCACAATAAAAATTTGTTACTACGTGTAATAACGCCGGTTTTATACGATTGGGTCTCATAATCAGCAAATAAATTCACATTCGCATCGATTAACATTAACTCTAGATAGTTAACTATTTATACATTCCCATTGCGTTATCGACCTACATCCCATTCCCAGTCGCAGTCGCCAAGCGAGTTAGTGAATAATGATATTTAGCCGATTTCATAACCGATACGAAATACATTTATGCCCATTTATTTGTCATGAATATTTTATGTTCATTTGCAGGCTCGCTTCCGAAACAATGAAACCCAAAACGGTAACATGACAGATTATTGTCGAAATAAATTTCTATAGAAAATTGAATATATTTGCTGTAGTAGCGAGAAGAACAAAATCTATTTGGGGTTGCAGTGCTGATGGTGCAAAAGTGCATTCGTCATTCCTCCAGGTGCGAAAGAAGTCTCTCGGTCTTACGGTGCAGTTGTGGTTGTGGTGCAAGGTGCACAGTCTTAGTAAAGTAAATTGATACACACCCTGGCCGTGGCGAGTTCCCCACTCACCCTGTATCCACCTAAGTTGTTCACCACGCACGTGAAGGTGGCGTCGCGGCCCTGCGCCACGGTCATGTCCTGCAGTGGATGCAGGAAGTCCGGCTCGAAACCGGACGCCACGGCTGGAACACACAGAAACGCAAACAATACACATGGTCAAATATTAGCGCTGCTTGCACGTACGTTCATTTCCTATACACGTGCACCAAAACAAAACATAATAACATTTTGTATTCGTATGGGTAATCAAAGCTAAGGTAGAATATATTGTGCTTACATGCATTTTGACGTGGCAGCAGTATTCAAGGACGTCGTAAATTTTAACCTCTACCCTCATAATAAATATTGAGTGTAATCCTTGGAGTGTGTTTGCGTTTGTTAAGCGAAGTGACTCAAAGCGGTTTGTCTGGCGTGTTTACTTACACTTTAGGTAATAGAAAAATGGCACACCGTAGGGCATGTGTTGTCACAAGGAGGATGTGGTGGGATGTAACCAGGACATCGGCAAGATGTTGGAGTGCCCGCCGTGAACCGAGTGGCCAATTTTCGGTCCGAGCCGGTAACGCAATTACCTGATGGCTTGAAAGCAACAACACACTCGTCCTTTTTGCTGGGTCCGTGCGGCGTTTTGCGCCACTTTCCAACGCGTCGCATTTACACGATATTATGATATGAAGATGGGAATGTGTGTGTGTGTTTTGGTGTTGTTTTTTTATTTGTTAGGTGATGATGTCCATTTATCCTTTTAGTACGTTTCATTTTCCATATGCGGCAATTTCCCGATTTTCCGGCACATAAAAAAGGAATAAACCGTTTTATTCCTGCGTGTCCGCGGGACAAAAGGATGAGGTGGGAATGGACATAATTGAATATCGAACTGCCAACCGAACAAATAGATTTATCATACGTGAGTTTCAATCAAGATTAAAACAACATCGTTTAGAATTACACTACAAATACAGTGCAACATAAACAAACCGAATCACAATTTTAAAGTATCCTTAATGTAAAATTTCACTATGAATACTAAGTTGAGGTTTATATTAGAAACTAGTTTTGCCCGCGACTTTGTCCCGGTAGTATTTAATAAAAATGTAATTAGTGTTTACTCTCTTGTTCTCGACATAGTATATCTCCATTCTATCAATAAGATTCGCAATTTTTTTAAAGAAATTAATTATATAAGTATTGTTAATAATGTACTTCAGCGCGCCATCTCGGATTCAACTATTTAACTATAACTATGATTGAATCTCATTGCCAACTTTTATCCTATAGGAACAAGCTGTCTTTGGGGTTTTCCCGGCAAATATTCGAATTTTTCTTGCCGTAAAAACCATCCTTGGACTTTAATAAACATTTAAAAAAAGAATTGGCCCAATTGGTCTAAGCGTTGTTGAGTTATACGCTTACCAACAGATTTTGCAATTTATTTTGATATTATAGACAGATATATCTCGAATATTCCGTTTTGTAATGGTCAAACGAATTCTTTAAATTTTCCAAGTCCCAAACTCTGAGTTATTGCCTTGGACTAACTAATAATATGTTTTTTATAACCATAAAGTAAATTTATCAAATTAATCTTAATTTTGAGATACGAGTTAAAATATGAGAGTTTAAAAAATGAAAAAGGTGTGCATATTATAAAGAAACCTTTTCACCCACGTAAGATATTAAGAAACCCTAACTCTGCAATTATTGATAAAACAAAAGACGGAGTGTTTTAAACGTAACCTATTAGAATCTGACCACAAAAACATATTTTGATTGATATTTTACATTAAATTAAAATTAAACATTAAAACAAAACATACATGCAGATGCATAAATATTTTTCTAGAGTAGTTCTTAGCCCACACAAAAGACAACCCTTCTCCCATTCTCAGCTAAAATCTGCTTAAGAATGAAAGTGACAAGACGGCAAGTGAGCTTACCGTCAAACCAAAACAAAATTACTTTTCCTGCTTTAGCATGACGTAAAACGCCGCACCGCAGCTTACTAGACGATTTGATCTGCGGAAAACTTTTAAGTTGCCTCCGCCACAATATGCGCAACGCAGGACAAGGCGACATAAGCGCCGCGACAAATTATAATATTGATGGCGGATGGCAAAGCGGAAAACGCGCGAGGCGAGTGCGTACGGGCGGAAATAATCCCGTCACCTGTAACCTCTCTGGCAGCAGCAGCAATGGCAGCAGCAGCAACAAAAGGAAGGAGTAGGCCCGACAAACGTGCACGTCGTGTTTTCTCATCTTGGCGAACGGGTACGCGAGGACAGGACACTAAACACGAACACGCGAGCGGTGCAGTGTGCAGAGATGCGTAATGATCTGTCACGTGCAAACTCTCAGTGCCGAAATGGAATGGCTGGCGCCGTGGAATACGAAAGCAGAAGAGCGCAATCGGGGCCGATTAAACGCTCGTTTTTGAAATACCTTGCGCCATCATTGTACGAGTATATTGTACATAAGTGTATGTGTATAATATATAGATAGTTGTGGCTGTTTATGTTTCGCCTGCGTTTGACAAACCTGCGGATGATGCGACCGGGGGCAGGCGGTTTACCGCATGATGCTTTGCGGTTCGGAGGAAATCCCGATTTGCTGCATTCGCTGTCAAAACCTGCACGAGGTTTAATCATTCAGATCGCGTTCGTTTATCAATCCGATCAAATCAATGGCAATTTTAATAAAAATGTGTGCGCGATTCAATTTCTGGGAAGACCAATATGATATCCTTGGTGAGAGGGGCAGCTGGTTGCCCAGGAGTGTGATAAACGCACATACGACGCACGCCGGGTAGTTTGGCGCTTCGGCTTTATTGCCGACGTGACTCGCGCGGCGCTTTTTCAATTTTGTCCCGCTCGCGTCCGGAATGATTGGCGCTCGGGGTGCGATTGTCCGATCGCCATTCGATGACGTATCGACTCGCCGCTTGCGCTTCACGAAAACTCTTCTTGTTCACGAACAACTTTTGCAAACGAGGAGGGTCAACTCGTTTCTTGTGACACAAGACACGAGTTTATGATTCACAATTTTCGTCCACGCGTCCAAAATTCCCAACTGGGAGCAGAGAAAACCTACAGATTCGCTAAGGTGGATTATCTGCCTAGCGAGTGCAAAAGTGTGAAAATCGTTCGTAATCTACTGGGAAATGCTCGTGCCATATAGCAATCAAACCGGATACTAAATTACAACTGACGTTATCGCTTTACTCGCGCACGCGTCGCGCAAAAAATAAAAAAACGAAGACACAAGACACGCTGTGCTGCTGTGCGGGTGTTGTGTGCGGTGGAGAGATGTAGAAAACGCGTCCGACACCCAAGTGGATTATAACGCACGCCAATTCCGGGATTCCGGGCTTCCGGGCCGGACGGCTCGAGTTATTGCCGATATTTCCACGCGGATATTCCTGACCGATCCCATGTCATATCTCATTCGTCTGTCAACTTTCTTCAACCGCATCCATAGTCACATTTTCAACTTAAAGCAGACAAAAAATTATTTGGATATATAAATAAATAGGAAAAAATGTCTTCCAGTGCAGAGTGTAAATACTAATGGTAATTAAAGCGACGTACGGCAACATTGCATTTTGGTGGAAGCGCCGGGACGGAAAGCAATTCCGCTAAAACCCGAGGGTGCAGCCGCCGGCGCCCGCAAGGCGACAATGTGTGAACGCGCGCGCCGGCCACACGTTCCCGTAATTCCTGCGCGCCAGGATCAGCGTCATTGCACGAGGAGACGCCCTTCCCGCAGCGTTTTTCTAAACAATACGCGAAGACAACCAGAGTACATTACAAAAATGCACAAATTCATCTCGTGTCCTACACCATACCGCATAGAGTGAGATAAATATAAAGGTCTTATCTAGGTGCAGAAATGTTTTAAAAAGTGTTTCCGGTCTTGCGGAAACGTTTTGTTCCATGGCGAGGTAAGCGCCGGTGACAGGAGTATGCAAATCGGGGAATGCGCTTGTCATCTTGCCCCCCAAACAACCAGAGAAGTGGAATGGGATAGGGAGGAGGAAATGATACACTTATTATTATTGCTGACTTGTCGTCCTTCCTACAAATGTCTGCCGGTGACAGCTTCGAGGAAATATCCCGGTGTGAACTTGACTTTCGGGCGGACCACGATGATTTGTAGAAAATTGTAGGTTAGAGCGTGGAAATCATTTTAAACACAGTGTCGCCTCGTTTCCGGCTTATTGCAGGCTATAAAATTACTGCCGTCGACAATATAGGTGCACAATGGTGAAGGCGGGGTTCATGGTCGGGCCATTTCGGTGGGATATGTTTCGCGGGAGCGCGTTTGCAAAACCGCAGCGCTGGTATAAACGCGACCGAAACGGAATTTAATTATTGCGTAAATGTGTAATGCATTTATGCAGAGTCGCGCCTCCCATGTAGAAAGGTCCCAGCGGGCAGTATACCACCAGTGTTACCCGCAAAGCCAACATCACCGTCGTTGCCTTCTCCCAAAAAGGAAGAAAATGGTTCACACATGAAATTTCACATTGTAACAGATAAAATAAAGTTTTTCTTAAATTTTGAGATTTTAGTTCTTTTGCGTTGTAAACGCGTGAAATTTCGCTATTGTTGGTAAGTAAAAAGAGGAACGTGGTTAAAATACCCACTGGAAACGCAGAAATAAAGCGAGCGTGGGGAGTAAAGGAGCAAGGACGATCATAACCGCCCTGATAGCCAATCTAAGCGGCGTTAATAAACTAAACAGGCCAGAAAGCGGCGCGCGGAGAGCACAACGGCGTTTTGCGCGCGCTTCGAATTTTCGTGCATTCCGGACACGTACGAGAATTGTGATTCCGAGGTGGTTAGTTAATTATTCAGCCGGGAGGCGGGGGCCTCTGAGGCGGGCTGCATACCCGCTGAGCGCGGTGGTGAAAGCGGGCGCCAAGAGAGGAAATTAAAACAAATAATTTACGCGACTTGTATAGCTAATTGTCGGACTGCTTTATGCCCTACTACACAGCCTGTATGTGTATAAATATGGGTGTGGTGCATTCATCAACCGGAATAAATAAAATAATAAATCAACAAACAAACAATTTATTGAGATTAATTCGCACTCACCTAACACTTGTAGAATTAATGTAAAAATAAAAACTGCCATCATGTGTCGTCGTAGGCCCATGATGCTTGTAGTGAAGAGTAGTAGTGTGTTGTCAATCCGTTTCCAAAGGGTCAAGTCTTCCTCCACCTTCGAGCGCAGCCATCGGGATGTGAGTCGTATCCACTTTTTGCCTTATCGCTGAATGCCGAGGTGGAACCCACGAAACCTCAAACGGAATACACAAAATCAGAAATATATACTCACTACCCACGCATCCTCCGCCTCCGCGCAGAGGTGGAGAAAGTAAAGAGCTTTTCACTTTACACAAGTATTAGCATTAGCATCTGGGTGCGTTCTGACCCCGCATGAAAGCACCAACCGCCGCCGCCGTCGAGATATGCGCGCTTTTAAAATATGTATGTATAATAAATCAAAATGCATTCGAACACATGCCAAAGAGGCGCAGGACTTCCAGTGAAAGCATCCCCTGATGCCGAATGCAAATGCGGGAATCTACGATAGTGAAAGCCGACTTCTGTACACAAAGCGCACGATATCATATCACTCAGCACCTTCGCCAAACTCCATGTGACTGCTGTGTGGCATCACAATATAAACCAGATTTAATGAATTTCGCAAGCATATCAAAACAGAAGTGATAAGAATTCCACTCTGGATGATGTTAAACGTCACTCGTAAAATATCGTTCTTTACGACAACGCCATGCCTTCTTTAAATATGTCTACACCCAAAGGGATATCCGGATCCAAGCGGCCGGAAGTTCAACACACAGGAGCTATCGGTTTACTTATTGATGCAGGACCATCGCAAGGCCGCAAACGTCCATCAGCCAAACGCGATTACATTATGCAAAAGCATGCTTGCAGTGCTCATATCAGAAGAATCCAGACGCGGAAGGGTTGTATCTGTTTCGTTAGATTCAACCGAAAACTCGCACTAAATCGCATAACTCTTGGCAGATATTTGCGTGGACCGGCAATAGAAAAGTGACTTTTGAAGATGCTGGGGCGTAGAAAGCATGCGAGAAGAGGTGTCAGCTGATAAAGAAGCGGCGGCTGTCACTCAAGCGCCGCTCACGGCTCACAACGCCGTTAACAATACTTTCTCAATTTCCTGCCGCTACCGCTGCAGCGCACCAGCTAAATAGCGATACAGCGGCGAGTGTATGAGCAACGTGGCGGGGGCGGCGTGACATTCCATCACGATGTCACGCCGTGTCGTTCTGCTTCAACTCCATCTCCATGAAAACCAGGGGAGGGTAAAGAAACGAAAAGTAAATTAACGTCTTTTTAAATAACTCCCTCCATTCGAATATGCATCGCATCGCAAACATGTTTTTAAAAGGAAGAGAGTGTAAATCAATTTCGAATGAGTTTTAAAATGTTGTTTCGTAATGGATAGTTTTGCTTTTCGATGTTTTTTTTTGTGGGTCTTGACTACTTTTCTTGGCTTTTTATTAAATTTTCTTCCAATTCTTGGCGTTAACACACAGCTTCGTGTTTCTGTTTTATTTTTTTTTTCTCAACGCGGTTGTGGAAATTGATGATTCGAAGCAGTCCTGCCTCCCGACGTTATTTGAGCAGGACTGTAATCATGAAGTGTTTAACACGAAGCGGAAACGCTCGAGGCCCGATACTGCCATTCACGCTTGTGCTTCTTTCCGCGGGACGCGTCCCGACTCTCCAAGCAGCCTGGCCGCGATGAGAAAAGGGATAATACTTGCGCGGTGTGTGGGTGTACGCTTCGATGACTGTTACATCATCTACACACGGCTCATGCTAGTTACCGGTCACGTGAGGCCGTGTGCATGCCAGGATGTGCAAGGATAACCGCCGCCGCCGCCCGCCCCAGCAATCCATCAATCAGAGGCGAAACGGAGGCAACGGTTATTAAAGTCCGTGCCTGGATTGTGCCAGCCCCGCCGCCGGCACATCACGCTGTCAGCGCCGCCGTCCACTTATTTATTGCTTGCGTATTACATCACGAGCCGCCCACCCGGTCCTTCTGGACAGTCATTGTCCCATCAAGTCACAACACATCCTTCCTGTCGCCACATCAAGTATCAAATATTTAATACCTCTAATAGACAATTTATTACCATGTTTTATGCTTGACTTAGTAGAAATTTTTCTTTTTGAGTGGGTATTTCTACTTCTGGGGGCAGGAGAACGAAGCGTTTATTAATTACACTGATGTTGGTTGTGCACGGCGCTCAGTCAAATCCGCTCGGGCTTCAAACGAATATCAAGCCGATTGATGTCCGTTTTCGGCATTTCGGCGTTCGGGACTTGGCCACGGGCGCCGCTCCACCGCGCCGCCCTTCTTTCGAGGCCTATCGCTTCAACGCTTTGTCGGCGGCGCTGCGCTCGCCTAGATTAGCAAACATTTAACCACATGTATCCGCACGAATTAGGCTACTGCCACGCGTACATCTCTAATGGCTAGCTAAACAATTGCACTGCAAAGCTTTCCACAGATTTATCTTTTATACAAAGTACTAAAATACACTGAGTAAAGTTAAGTAAACACTTACTGTACGCTATACCCTCACAATATCGCCAAAACGATATTTTTACAAAACCATTGCAAGTCAATGCAAGTATTTGTCAAGCCTGATGTGGATAGTTGCATTGACTTGCAATGGTTTTGTAAAAATATCGTTTTGGCGATATTGTGAGGGTATAGCGTACAGTAAGTGTTTACTTAACTTTACTCAGCTTATACTCACCCTCTCGTACTACCTACCATTGTATTTCACTAAAATACATTTAAATTAATTTCAAACAAAAAATTTACATTAAAATATTTATTTTTTATTTTTTGAAGGTTATATTAGTTATATTTAATTATTTTTATGATATTTCTGTTTCACCCTGTATAATATATGCGCGCGCATGCATGCTTCATACTTATTGCGATTGCGAATTGCCAAACATGCGAATCTATTAAGCATACATATGTACTCATATCGGGTGCGCAACCCGGGTGGCGGCTGGAGGCGGCACACTGGTGTACGCACGGGGAGCGCAGAACGGCAATGCTATTACCGGCCCGTTTGCGTTGCGGGCCAGTAAGCGCATCGGCCGCGCATCCCGCCACTGTTACCGGTGCTCCGTACTGCTTTCTATCTCGCCACCGCTGCCGCCGCTGCTACCACCGCCTCGGCACTGAATTCGCACACGAGCACATTCGATATATGCGCATACATTACACCCCCCAAATAGATATTACGCTTTTATGCAAAGAGGAGGTATTATTATAACAGAGGAGCCGCGCGCAAAGGACTTGCAAAAGAGTGCAATTCATTAATCACCATACGCATGCGCGCTGTATATCTAAATATACATTTTCGGGGTGTTGCCGGATGAAAAAACACAAAACAAGTTGTAAAATTCCACTGCAGACAAACGCGCGTGCTTTGAAAGGAGTAAAAATACATAAAAAACTAAGAGGCAAAAGATACCTACACATCCGGTGTGAGATAACCAGGATGAAAAATATTAGATTACGTCCAGTTGCCGGTTTACCGGCTGCGCCTGCGAAAATGAAGAGTCGTAAACTCAGCGCCCGTTGATGGTCCTGCGCGTCCTGCGATGCAATGTCAGCACGGCGCACACGTGCCACTCCTATTTATCGCATTTACACACCCGATTCATCCGTACATCGACAGGTCAACATCACACCTGATCAAAATATACAAAGTGTTCAAAACATTAAAAATCAAAATAACAAAAAAAATTCTCTTTGTGATTAAATTTATCGTTAAAAGTTTTAAAATTTCAATATGTTTCAGGATGTTCCATAATGGCGGCTGAACGGGGAGTCAATTAAAATTTCTGGAGTTTAAGTGAGATTACGCGTTATAGAAACAGGAAGCACTCCGGAACCGCCGTACTGTGCGGGGTGTGAGCGGGTGTCGGTGACGGTGTCGGTTGTGAGCGGCGGCGGCGGTGGCCTGAGCAACAATAACGAATCCGACGAACGAAAACTCCACCGCTGCTACTGTTGGAACTGTGGAATTCCAATTAGGAATTTGTCACTTACTTCTTAAGAGCGGTGTGCGTCAAGAGCCGCCAACCATCAACACAATATCATTTCCTACACGAACCTTAAATGCCTAAATCCTTCACCAAAAAAAATTTTACAATTTTTATTTAAAACTAAAAAATTTTCTGTTTGTTAATGTTTTGTTAAAGAATAATTAGCGAGTTTGCGTGATGGAGAAGAATTCCATCACCTGAGACGCTATGAGCGCCCACCCGTTGTGATTTCATTAAAGCATCGCGTGATTAATAAAAGATGTGTCCGATGTATACGCGCCGCCGGCCAGACTGATTTGCCATCCAGATTTCCTATTTTATTTCGGTATTATTTGAGCTGCCCGGCGCCTCCACGTTATCTTTTGTGCGCATCGGCGCTTAATGCGCGCGAGGCGTTCGTTTAATTATTTTCTTTCTTCGTTGCGCGAAAAGCATGACAGTTTCAAATAGCCTCATTGCAGTTTTAATTCGTTGCGATCTTGCAGTGTTTCAGGTGGAACAAAAATTTATGTTTTAGTTAAATTAAAACAATTGTCACTCTTTTCTGTAACAAAATTTTTATATCAATCAGATAAAAAATAAATTTTTTTCTTTACACTTTATGTTGATATATTCTCATAAAACACTTTTTTGTCATGTTATGTCGCGCTATCAATTTCCCCGTTCGCTGTATGCTGAACTTAATTTAAATTTGAAAGAAATTTTAATCGAATTTTTGCTCTTCGCGGTCCCGAGCGCACGTTTAGCCCACGGTAGCGGCGAAACATGTCTAAACAATTTAATAGCAGACATTCTCGTTCGTTCAGCCGCGGGCGGGAAGAAAACGGTTCCGGAACGAGAGGTACTGCTGCAAGTACAAATATACTAGAGTGAAATATGTTTAGTGTGTGCATATTTGTGCTGAACGCACAATCGTTGTCGTCTGCGTTGCGATTTTCCTTATTTCCTTATCCTGTATCATTTAACCTTTACCTTTATCCTTTTTGTTTGGAGCTTTGCATGTGAGTATATGCTCAAATAAAGTCGTGCACGTCAACGTAATGCTTCCTAGAGAGTTGTATATTCTGTTTTACGAAAAGCACCTTGGCAAGAAAAGGACATTCAGTCGGAATGCAATATTCCGACTCCCACATTCAGGAATGCAACCATCGCGTAAATCCCATAA